TTTTAGAAAACGATTAACTGACTTTTTTTTAGAGTTGCATTGATACAAATGGAGAATACGCTGGTACCTCCGTGAAATTCTAAGTTCCTCCGAAAAGTTCCTTACCAAAACGCGATCCAATGAATAGAATTTGAATGCTGAGCTATTGAAATTCACAAATGAGCGTGCGTGGAATTCGCGCGGTCAGGGTCGGCACAACCAAGACTGGCGCGAGACACTTCAGACATTTGCATCGTGTCATAATGTGTTTTTTATTACTCTGCTTTGCATTTAATTTAATTAATTAGTCAAAAATGTTTAAAATACATAATGAATTTGTTATAATAGTTTTAAATTATATATATACATATAATTTAAATTATATACAATATATATAATTTAAAACTATTCTAACAAATTCATTATGTATTTTAAATATTTTTGACTAATTAATTAAATTAAATGCAAAGCAGAGTAATAGAAAACATGTTATGACACGATGCAAATGTCAGAAGTGCCTCGCGCCAGTCTTGGTTGTGCCCATCTTGACCGCGCGAATTCCACGCGCGCTTATTTGTGAATTTCAATAGCTCAGCATTCAAATTCTATTCATCAAATCGCGTTTTGGTAAGGAATAATATAATGTTATAATAGTTTTAAATTTTATATATATATATAATTTAAAACTATTATAATAAATTCATTCCAAATTCAACACTTAATACCGTCACAATATACCGTAATATATATATACATATATACAGGGTGAACCATTTTAATCCATCCAGTCGAATATCTCGAAAAATAAGCACACTAGGAAAAAATGTTTCAGACAAAAGTTGTATGGCTTCGAGGGAGACATATGTTATCATATAGATGATAACATTGGTTTGACCCTGAGTGGCGTCGTCAAGGTCAGGACAAAGTCACTTTGAATTTTTTTAATGGAACCCCCAATTTTTCATTACATGTTCTTATATAGCACGTCTCAAGAACTTTCCAAAACACATAAATAAAATATGTTTTTATGAAATAAATCTTGAGTTATGAAACTTGAAAATTGGAGTACTGTCGGCATTAGCATCATCCAAGGTGTCCAAACACTAGCTAAAACCTTTTGAATGTTGTTCAGGATCATGACATTGATAAAGACCAACGACCTTGGCCATCTTTAGCTAGTGTTCGGACACCTTGGATGATGCTAATGCCGACAGTACTCCAAATTTCAAGCTTCATAACTCAAGATTTATTTCATAAAAAAATATTTTATTTATGTGTTTTGGAAAGTTCTCGAGGCGTGCTATAAGAACATGTAATGAAAAATTGGGGGTTCCATTTAAAAAATTCAAAGTGACCTTGTCCTGACCTTGACAACGCCACTCAGGGTCAAACCAATGTTATCATCTTATGTCCCCCTCGAAACCCTACAACTTTTGTCTGAAACATTTTTTCCTAGTGTGCTTATTTTTCGAGATATTCGACTGGATGGATTAAAATGGTCTACCCTGTATAATTATTATTACTACTATTGTCTTAAATAAAATTTAAAAGCATTACAAGATTATTCGTTGATACATTTTATTTTAAGGTTATTAGTGAATATCTATTAATAAATAATGTATTGTTAGCATGAATTGCATGCATTATATTGTTACGCCCGTGTCTTCGCCCGCGTCGTTCGATGTACCAGCGAGCCGGTCCAGCTGTCAGATGTTTCCCTGACGACGCGTTGTCGTCTGTCAAACTAGCGACACATTAGATTTGGAGACGAGCCGTCGACTCGTACGGACGTGCTTTACTCTGCTCTATCTATTCGCTGCGTTATTGGTTCACAGTCATTACAATAAAGCGTGTTCCTTGTGTTCCTTTCTTATTTCCCCGCGGCTTTCCGGTGCACGTGCGCGAACGCGAGTGCGGAAGCGCGAACGTTACGCGACCGAGTGCGTGATCGCAAGGTTTACCGCCCCGGGCGTAACAATATTTCCATGAGTTTATATATAAAAAACGGGCGCGCCAAGTATGCTGCTGCTGGAGATTTCTTCCTATTTTTGATTTTTCTGTGTACGTAATTTGCTACTTGTTATCGAAATCCCTTTTTAATTACTGCGGTCTTAATTACGCTATTTATTGAGTTTCTTGTTTTTATTTTTGGTAAATGTTTACCTTTACACAGTCAGCCCCAAATGACTTCCGACTGATTTTGATCTTGACCTTGACCCTTAAGAAGTTTAAGGCCACTGACGTTTCCCGTCGCTCATTATTTGTTAAAAAGTTATTAACATAATAAGTTATATATGCTCATTTAATCGTGTGTCATGTTTATGGGATTTAGTGGATTATT